ACGTGCCCTTGCCAGAAAGACAGAGAGAGACATAGAGACAGAAAGCGAGAAATCACCCCCCAGGGGGGATGGTCATGCCGCAATCCCTTCTCCTCCATTCTCCTCTCAGGATCTTGGGCACGCATGCACACGCGCCCAGTGTGAGTTTTAAGCCACTGGGTCCGGGACGCGAACCACCGTTGACTACATGGGAGTCCAGCAACATAGCCATTACGCTAACTGCTGGTCCCAAGATTGTCGATTCATTTTTAAATGTTGTAAGTCTACAGGGGCTTTGGTATTTTTTTCCCAGAAGTTCAATCAGTACCATTCAAAACAAAACAAAACAAAATATTCTTCAGCGGATATGTCATCGTGGTACTCATGGTTATTAAGAGTTTCTCTTAAGTTTTCTGTTTTGTTTCTTTTATCTGTTTCTCAGGTCCCATGTTGATATATACATATTTTTTAAAGAATTATTTAATTTATTTATTATTATTTTTTCACATGAGTTTTGCCAGAGAAAGAGAAAGAGAGGGAGAGGGAGAAAGGAAGTCGCCAGGTCCAGGGTTTGAACCACAGTCGGCTGTGTGGGAATTCCAGCGCCCTAACCACCACACCATCTGCTGGCCCCCCTTTCTTTTCATTTGATGAAGCCAGGCTCCTGTTACTATTCTGTTCATGTTTGTCTAGTCTCTCCTTCAGTATTTATTGTACCATTTGGATCTTATGATTGCTAGATACACTTCAATTAAGAAAACAAACAAAACTATTGTTATTCCAGTGGGAATTGTGTTCCATTTATATATTATCTTTGGGAGACGTGACATTTATTTGACAAGCATTCCTATTCTGGAGTGTGGCATATATTTTCAGGATTCATTTCATGTATTCAGTAGCTTAGCTTTTTCACATAAGTCCCATGCTGTTTTTATTGAAATGTTCTCATAAATAGAGGGTTTTTTTTTTCTCTGTTTGGCACCCTGAAATAGCAGGGAGGAAGGAATGAAAAGTATTTTCTATCCCCGTTTCCATTTTGGGGGTGGTTATTTATAAGTTGAAGAAATCCATTAATTGGGAATATTTGACTTGTATCCAGCCCTATTACCAAAAATGTAGGTATGCAATTATATAATCAGTGAACTCTGCAAAAAATATTATAATATTTCCACTCAACCTTTACTTTTCCTGGCTTATTCATTCATCTTCGAGACTATGTTGAGATAAAAGTTGTAACAGATCACCGTTTCAGTTCCAAACTTTATTAAAACCTACTGAATATTTTGCAATTGCAGACACCTCCTAAGATTCAGGATCATTTGTGATACACAGATAGAACACTAGTTCATCAATCCTCATGCACTAATGGCTTGTCCCACAGGAGGCGCTGGGAAATGTGTTCTCCTTTTCAATTCTTTGATGGTCTTACACGGGGATAAAAACCATGTGTGTTCCTTGCACGTTTGGGGAAACCTGCCAGAGAACGGTCTGGGCCTATACTCTTCTTTGTAGATGATTACTTCAACTGTTTTATTTTATATAATTATTGGATGGCTCTTTTGGTAAGAATTGACTAGAACATTTGCCCACGCTTTTTCCAGGTTGCTAGAATCCCATTTTGGTGGAATTATGTGGATTTTTACTGTTTGCATCTCTAGCCAGACCTGCTGACCCCAAATGGGTAGCCACTTCTGGT